TTAAAGACGGAAGAATAATGTTGTTTTGCATGTGAGGCTCTCAAACTTGTTTAATAAAATGGCGCGTCAAATGACGATTTTAACTGAATTTGGTAATTTGCATATTTCCTTGAAATGAAAGGATACTTTGCCTAAAAGACTCTCCCTTAGTTTTTGTCATGTCCTAGCCTATCTACCATAAAAATATGAGCGAAATCAAATTTTTGACCCTTGCCGAGTTATTTTCCATGATTATAGACAGGGATTCTTAACTGAATATCGCCCGGATCGAAAAACTCAATTATGCACAATTCAGATTGAAAAGCCAAAGAGGTTTCGATTAATTTCAAAGTAGGAAAGATTCACGCGCAAAGGTTTTAACGAAATCGATTTTTGGACTCGAAATCACCCGGACCACTTCTTCTAACTGGGTGGATTGTATATCTTTATAAAGCCGCACCTAGACTTAAAACTAGGAAATTCTAAAAAAAACATGCAATAGCTCAGACAAATTCGCTCGCCACATACATCATCATAGAAAACAGATGAAAGACATTTGTAAATTAATTGCAAAAATTGCGAAAATATTATCTTTCCTTACATTTCATAATGGCAAAGAAAAAGCCTCCTTTCCACAGGGTTAACCTTTTCATTTTGCATGACTGCACAGCACCTTATTACAAAAAAATTGATACGCTATTTCAAAGGCTCCTTGACAAAATGAAAGGAAAAAAGGAAAGCTTCTGAATTACATTCTTTCCTGACTCTACAGTTACAGTGTAACCAGAACTTAGTTACCTTGTTTCCTTTTGTTACAAGTTATTTTGAAGTTTTCTAAGCTATTTACTTCTAAGTTTTAATTTTGCGTGGGACGGTGGGAGCATTCAACGCATTGAAAAGGTGTTCAATATTGAACTAGAAATATTTTGTTCAGATATAGGTGAAAAGTCTAAGAAAATTGTTTGAAACGAATAGCGGAAAGAATAGGATAGAATAGAATATGGTAGCAGCCTTATCTAAAACATTCAAAATTTCAGCTTATTCCGATTTAGACAAATCCGTGTGCGAATAATCCTACTTATCCACCCTTGAGAATGGACATCACTAATCATAAAATATGCAAAGTTTGTCAAATAGAGCTTGAATGCAAGACTACTATGTCAGGTTTCTTTTGATTTTTAAAAGCTTCAGCTGATTCCTCAACAGACATACAGATTTTATTTCGGCCTCCCTGTCTTGCGAAATAAGCCTTGTCGTATCATATGAATCTGTGCGTGCACAATAAAAGAGGTTTTATGTAATCTTCAACAAACTATTTTCAACAAACGTTTTACATGACTAATCCAATATTTCCCGCTCCAAACCATTGCTGTTAATTTACTCACCCCTTATCCCCTACTCAGTGTTGCTTGGATTATTATGAGGACTACAATACATGACAGTGTGTAATGTCAAGCCTTGTGTAGTACAACAATAGGTAATAGGAAGAGGGTGAAAAAGCATTTGTAAGAATCAAGTTGTTTCCAGAGCTAAAAAAACCCATATTTGTCGCAATTCATATTTTCACATGTTATAGCTTGTTATCCTATCTGGTGCCTTGACATGTTAGACTAAAATGAAGATATCACATCAGTGACAACATTGGTTTGATGACGTGTATATTTAGGCCCTCATATCTGTACATGAGGAATAGATTCAAGCATATTTATTCTCCGAAATTTGTTGTCAAATACTATGTAATTTATACTAAATATGCTAAACTCTCGCAGGCGGCTGCACAACAACCAGTTGAAGAAATTACCATCAGGCATTTTCAGTAGGAATACCCAGCTGATAGAGCTGTAAGTTTGGAATCTTTCTTAATATTGGTATAAGAGGAACAAGTCAAATCCCACCGTCAAAACAGACATTTGAATGCGTGGGTTATATTTCATATTTCATGTATATCATTGCTCATGTCCCAATAAAGCCGCACTAAAATATAGACTAAGAAACTTCCTCTAAAACATGCATTGTATTCGTTCGCAAAAATGGATTATCAAAGAAATATTTCTAAGGGAATTTGTTAGACCCTTTCCCTCTCCCTGAAATAGTTTCGTTATCAAGTCAAGAATGTTCTATGTAGTTCAGTGTTTAAGGCTGTGTTTCAGTCTTCTTCTGATTATTCTTCGTTGCACGAACGAACGAGTAAAAAAAAAACAAACAAAAAAAGAAACAAAGATCAGCTTGGTGACACCTATGGTGACAATTCAATTTAAATGAGCCAGTCATTTATACTTACAGTGCAATAACTGTAAACATTGCCACGGTGTACGCGAAATTTAGAAATTTTGTTGATCTGAAAAAAATGTTCAAGACTTTGGAGGAGGTACCAATCCCGTGTACTAGTCCTTCCTAAATCCAGACCCCATATGCTAGTGTCTCTGAACCACGTTTCTTTATCTCAATTAACTAACAAAATACCAGTGGTGAACACTTCAGCTCTTCTCTCTGCACATTATCACAAAATACAGGACGGTATTAGATAACTCACGAACCCCCACGAATTCTCTAAGGCCTTTATAGAAGACATCCGGTTCCTTATCACCATGCTTGAATTTTATCATTTACTGTTGTTTATATTTCTGTTAAACTGGATTAAGGGATGCGCTAGAATTAGGGTGCAATAGGGGTCTGGTGTGTTGTTTCCATTTTGTCCTTTTTTCAAGTCTTTTCGTTGAAAATTGTTGTTAAAATCCGATAGAAATATTTTGTGGATGAGAAAATAATACAACATTGAACAGGAAGAAGCTCCTTTTTTCAGAGATTTGAGGTGAT